ACTCTTGATCCAACAATGGGCTACTAACCAACCACTCAGTAGAGAGTTCTAGTCAGTCCACGCAGTTAAAGACCTAGCAAAAGTCCCTGTTTAACGGATGCTGCCCACATTTTAATCCAAGTTTTGGTCGGATACCACAGGGTTGCCAGTTTTTTTGTGGGCCTAACAATTTTTGTAAAACTGTGAGGAGAACTGAAGGTGTTACGATCCGAATTTTGAGAACAAACGCAACTGGTATTTTGACGCAAATTATGCTGCAATTAGCGGATACACTATGCTCGGCAAACCGGCAACAGTTAGACTCTCCCGGGGAACACTAACGAATAAATCCAGCAACCTCTCATCGAGGAACATGAAAAACATGGCAATTATTAGAAAAAAATCTCCTCTGCAGATAAGACCCCATGCGTCAGATGCAGACTCCAAGTACATTAGAAACAACCAGAGCTGCGAAATACCCTACTAAAGAGCAGACCCGATTTAATCAAGAATGAACAGCTATTCAGTCACCTAAGCTTTTGTGGCTCGCCGATCGCTGGAACTACCAGATGATAAATGTAGTGAACTGTGGTTGCGTATTCTACTCTTTTGCATCTCATGCCTACCACAATGGGTGGCCTTGCGTCGCAACTATCATTGAAATCGATTTGAAGCAGTTTAACGTGTGATCTCTATATATTTTACAGAAACTCCCCGATGGTAGTACGCACTGCCTTTTCTTTGTCCTTATGTGTCAAATCGATCGTAGCGTGTACTCGTCTCTGAATGTACAAACTTTGGACTGATCCTTAACAAATAGAAAACGTGAATAATAAGGAATAAGCTTATATCCGCCGAATGATGTGGGCACGTCTTTTTAACTGAGAAACTGACGACTAAAGTACAATTAAGTTTTTTTTAACGGCAGCAGACCTTACAAAGCCCGCAATCTTCAGTCTGAAATCCCTAGGTCATATTCTTGAAGGTTAAGCCTAGTGCGGACAAGGTCATAACGAGCTGAGGGAATGAACTAGCTGAATTTTAATTAAGTTACATTTGAGGGATTTTGATAGTTACATTGCAGGAATAGATACTGCCCACCATAATGGGTCTTCGAATTAACCATCTTTTCGAGTTCGACACAGGTCGAAATTCGATGGAACGACTGCCAGTCGAAAATACTACACAAATGCAAGAAAGACTCTTAATTTCTGCAAGCAGGTAGACTTGTAAACCCCTCTGTCCTCACTGTTTATACATCTATCATGACCCGCGTCATTATCCCAAGTTGCCAACTGTCCAACTCGAAACTTCTCGGTATGCAATTAAAGCGGGTCTACCGCTCAGGCGGGCGCCCAAAATTACGGTTTGCCAACTGAAGATCAGTTGAGACTGTCCCTTTGGATATACGGCGGCTGGATTATGACTTGGCAGTCGCCATACGACCGTATGTAACTCCTTAGCTGCAATGGGAAACGGGAAATGCCTACTTTCGTCGTGTTATTAGGACACCTTACAGTACGCTAATTCAACGCGAATCTGGTGCGTGCTTCTGTTTACGATCGTGATAGTGAAGCATGCCACAAAGGTACTTTAGAGGACTGATTAGCAATACCTCGGGATCAATGAGATGTCTTGGGAAACTAGCGCAAAGTTGCCAGGTGTGGTTGTCTGTTGTACTGTATGTAACTGCAATACTCCTAGCCGAATGAATAATAGGGTCGGGCAGAAGTTATAAGAACGCAAAGCTGTCAGCACCTAACACATGCCCATTTTCTTCCTACCAATAAGCACTCAGGATTCTCTTAGAGTTTTTCAGTTCTCCTCAAGTCTGCTGTCGTGGATGATTAAAGACAGTGATCCCATCGAACAGGTGTAATGGCAGACAACAAAACTCGTGGACGATCTTAGGATTCTGTTTTATTCTCAAAGATTGATAAAACTTAATTTCAGAAAAAGAAGGAGAAGAAGCGATCATTGGAACAAGAGTTTTATGGTCCTGACGTTTCGGATTCCGTCGGAAATCCTTAATCATAGGTAATCGTAGA